TCCCTTTTATTTGTTCTTTACCTGTCTTTAGCAGGGCAAGTGGGGGCACAGAGATGGAGGGACAAACGCAGCAGTGTGTCTCATGAAACACTGCCTTGAACATGAACTATATACCCTGTCTTGGGGCCCAGGGGAAAAACTGGGGAGCCAGGGATAGGAGGGGTGGCATTCTTCAAAAATAAATGTACTGATCACCTGACGTACAGAACAGTGACCCTCATCATCCCTACAAAACAACAAAAATGCAAAAAAATACATACACATAAATAATGTAATTGATGTGATTGGGATCCAAACCCGCCCCAGCCTTTTACAAATTGTCTAATTTGTGGTAGCTGATCCACAGTTTCGCATCTTGCTTTTGCAGAGCTAATGGGGTATGATAAACTCTTCTATTGAACGTCTTCAGTTTGGATTTCTAACGCCGAGGTTGGACTAAAGTTTAAAATGTGTATTAATATGGACGGCATGCATCTTACAAGATTTGAAAAGATTTGATTCAACAAACTTAGAGTTAAGCGGCATTTGGCCCAGCCAGCCTGTCTTTTGAAGGTGGTTCTCTGAGGCCCTGGGATCTCGCTTGCAGTAGGCGGCTCTCTTTGACGCTGTCTCCGTTGAAAAGGCTTCAGTGTTCACAGCACTCAGTTGCTCATGGTGGGGAGGTATGGGGCTGTGGTTTGCATGTGCAGAACCTGTTTGTCACCACGGCTTTCCTGGTACCCAGCCCCTCATTGCCGACGCCAGCCCGTGGTTCACATTTGATCTCCCGCCGCCCTGAGCTTCTGCAGTCTTTCAGGCTGGGAATTCCAATGGAGTATCGTTTCTTCAGTGAGTGATTTGTCATGATCTTTGAGAAGATCCAGAAGGTTCTAATGTAACTTGGGGGGCATCTCCAAATTCTTTCACTCTTTACAACCACTCCATTTGGAAAAACAAACCAGCAAACCAACAGACAAGGTGTAATATACATCACCATTTTTTCAAGCCTTGGTGTGGTGATTTCTGTCCGGCCCGAGGGTGCGGCATGGTAAAGGGAAGGGGGCTGCCTGCCTCCCTCAGACACCAGCCAGCCGTGCCATGCGGGAGCCACGGACAGAGCGCAGCCATCTCGCTTGACAAAAGGTGGCAGCTGCCTGGCCGGTGACAGCAGGAAGGAAAACATGGCGGCAGAATGCAGAGCGCTGCGGGCTGGTGATCGGGCACAGAAGTGTGGCTCCGAGGTGGGTTGTAGAGACAGGACACGGGCCGCCCTCTAGGCTGAACACTACCCCAGCATAGGGTACAGAGCCTCCAGCCACGGGCTTGAAGGAAATGGAGATCTCAGACAGGTGGACACTCATATATCTGTGTTCATGTGTCCGTGTCTATATGTTCGTGACTATATTCTGTGTTTCTGTATGTAGAGGGCAAGGGAGAGGGTTTATAAATCTTACCATTGGCTGGCTTTCCCCATCTTGATACGCAGTCTGGTGGCACTCACATGCACTCCATGGCGCGTTTTCACAGATGTTTTGAGGGCTTGGCCAGAGCGTCTGTACCCTGTCAGCAGCCGCCGCCCTGCATTCTTCTTCTCTCGGACTCTGACAGCCACCACCGTCTCTTCTGGCTGCGTGAATCGATTCCTTTGCCATTTCTTCCTGAGTGTACGCAGGTGTCGTTGGGTCTCGATGTGCACGTACTTAATCCTGTGCATTACTGCGGTTCATTAGGAATGGCACTGGCTTCCGGTCTTCCAGGAAGCTCTACACGTGGAGTGGACAGCAATGTCCTCCTCACCACCTGGCAGTGAGAGGCGGCAGGCGGGTTTGACCTCCCAAAACGGTGGAAGGCTCTTGGCCTGACTCTCCACCTGCTCTCCCCATGAGCCCCTCCCGTCACAGTTAACGGCCGTACTAGACTGCAAGGCCTTCAGTGTACGTTAAAGATCACCTCAAAGAACCAATGTGTGAATGCAGCCACACTGCTCGTAACTGGCGTGAGTGAGTGGGGCCCAGGTCAGCCTGGGGGAGCTCGTCCGCTCCTTTGAAGGAACTCTCCCTGCCCGTCCGCCTGTCCCGAATTCTCACTGTTCCCCCTCTCATTCCCCTGTGTTGCCTTCCTTCCTCACTTGGACCATGTGTTTTCTGAATGACACGTTTTGATGTCTCTTCTCTTTTATGCACATTGCATAGATTCTTTTTATGGTTACCACGGAAAATTCTTATAACATCCCAAGATTATGAAACCATTTCCACTCCATACAGAAGTAAGTTTAATGGTATTCACATCTGCTCTCCCACGTTATACCATGGATTTCATAAATTGCGTCTTTATAAAATTACATCTCTATTGTATATTTATAATTACTATATATATATATATATCTTTTAAATGCTGCAGAAAATAAAAGTGAAATTGCAAATAAAATACCAGTATTTAAAGGATACTGCCGTGCATTTCTCTTTCCTGGAGAGCTTTTTATTTTCATCTTGTTTCTAGTTATTGTGTAGTGTCCTTTTGTTTCAACTTGAAGGATTTCCCCTAGAATGGTTTGGTTGATCATGAATGCCCTCATCTGTTGTTTATCTGAAAATGTCTTAAAGAGTCCTGACTTGTGAGGGGCAGTTTTGCTGGATACAAAGTTCTGGGTTGCCAGTCCTTCCTCTCAGCAGTTCAGTAATCACCCCGTAGCCTTCCAACAGCCAAGCTGCTGCTGAGAAATCGGCAGATATCCTTATTAGCAATTTCTAGTTTGTGATAAGTTAGCTTTCTCTTTCAGCCTTCAAGATCCTTGATTTACTTTTTTGCAGTTCAGTTATGTAACAGAGTGTCCTAATATGAATCTCTTCTCTTGTATCCTTCTTAGTATGAGTTCATTGAGCTCCTCAACCTTGCTGTATCTTGTTAGCTACAAGTAATAGAACCTCTTGTTCCAATGGGTTTTAACTAAGGTAGATTTTATGGTCATCTGCCTGCCTGTGGCTGAATTTTTCCCACGATTGTAACTCACAGCTCCAGGCTTTGGATATTTAGATGTAGAGTCACCCCACCCTGTTCTCACCCTCATTCGGCAATGGAAGCATCCAAGTCCACCTCCCAAGTCCAGGCACAGTGGAGTCCAGGGAGAAGAGAACTACTCTCTGCCCACACGTGAAGAGCTGGTCTCTGGTGGGGAGAGCTGGTCTCTGGTGGGGAGCTGGTCTCTGGTGGGGACCTGGTCACTGGTGGGGAGCTGGTCACTGGTGGAGAGCTGGTCTCTGGTGGGGAGCTGGTCTCTGGTGGGGAGCTGGTCACTGGTGGGGAGCTGGTCTCTGGTGGGGAGCTGGTCACTGGTGGGGAGCTGGTCTCTGGTGGAGAGCTGGTCACTGGTGGGGAGCTGGTCTCTGGTGGGGAGAGCTGGTCTCTGGTGGAGAGCTGGTCTCTGGTGGAGAGCTGGTCTCTGGTGGGGAGCTGGTCTCCGGTGGGGAGAGCTGGTCTCTGGTGGGGAGCTGGTCTCTGGTGGGGAGCTGGTCTCTGGTGGGGAGCTGGTCTCTGGTGGGGAGCTGGTCACTGGTGGGGAGCT